CCGAATTATTTCATGATTTATAAATTTAAACTAACGCTGATATTTTGGAGAACGGTTCGAGAAATCCGTGAGGTCGCGGATGAAAGTGATTTCCGAGGAACGTTGAATCACATCCCCTTGTAAAACAAGATTCGACGAAGATATTAAGGTTATCGAGCATGATTTAGGGGATTTTATGACCTGATTTTTCTCAGTAGAGATATCTATTCCTCTAAATTCTTCTGAATCTGCACGGCAAATCAACAGATAACAAGGGAAACAAGTTATATCGAAGACCCCTTATTTTTTCTTCGTACAAATATTCCACAATGCGTTGTTATCGTTACGGTGTTTTTTCTACGATCAAGATTAATCTTGCCATGGTTTATAACCAATAATTATTTAGAAAGTTATGCTTATAATTATTTTTTATAAGCAATGTCAGTCTCCCTGACCTCGCTCGGCTAGTATGAAAATTTGAATAATTAATTGCAAATTTGTTATTTGTACAGAAACTTTATTTATTGATTTACAGTTTTTAATTTTTACAATGCTTCTGAATATACAAAATTTTTTATATTGTCTCCGTCTGATATCAAAATAAATTATTGAACCCTTATTTTCTTAATAAATCGACCTCTCTCTCTTACATATCTATATACAAGAGAGTGTCAACAGACTCTGAGACACTAGGAAATCAAACCAGATCTAAGAAGGAGCCACCACAAAATTCTAAAAAGAATTAAAGTAAATGAGATGGCTTGACAAAATGAGAGAAAAGCTCAACTTGACAGGCCCTTCCAAGTGAACATAGACCCATAGACAATAGAGACATTTGGACGAAGGGGGCCCCACAAGAAGGCGCCCTAATATGGTGGTACACAGATGGATTGAAGTTGGAACGTTGAGTAGGCGTAGGGGTATAAGGGCTGAACTCCACCCTAGCTAAGACCCTTGAGCTAACCCAAACAATTTTCCAAGCTCGTCCATGCAATACAACACTGTGCAAAGGAGTTAATAAAGAAAAAATATAAAGGTGCAAATATACATCCTCTCAGACAGCCATAAAGGTTCCAAAATGTGTATACTTTTTTTAAACTCCTTTGGGAATGCTTATGGTATGTAAATAGGAAAGAATTTATCTCAGCGTGAGAGGGAGTATGAATGAAAGATTAATTTCAGTGGGGGTGAAATGAGCTAGCTGTTGATAGCTTCACACGCCCAACCTCAGTGGCTGAAGGGGTAAGATCGTGATCTGAACCAGGAGTGCCAACACCCAGGTTGAGGGATTCTCAAAGCTAATAATTTATTGTAAATTACAAAAACTGGATTTGTCAGTGACTGCGAGAAGTGATAGGTTCAACTTTGTACACATGTGTACATGCATGTACAAATTTGATCTTATATAAATTAGTAAATCAATTTCTGAATATATTAAAAAAATCTATCATTTGCAACAAAAATGAATGAACAAGCAAAATATGTAGTATTTTATAAAAGTTTTAAAATGAAAAAATAAAATATTTACATAAACATTTTTTAAGCATTTATGTATCTACAAAACTCTATTTAATGATGGACCATATTGGAATATTTATTATAGAAAGTAATGAAAGTGTTAAGAAAAGTTTTATTCCAACTTTACCAGGCTTAAAATTCAGAACAACTTCAAATTTTGCTCTATTTCTAAATAGAATAACAGTTCTAAAAATTCCATGACAATTCTTCAACATTTATCTCAGATTGGATTAAACAATGTTTCTTGTTTTTGCCTTATTTTGGACTTTTATCAAATTAGTCACACATTGATAAAGAACAAAGTTGTTGGTGTCACAGTTGCAGTTTAATGATCAGGGAAAAATCCTTAATTTTCCTTAGAATGTGCAAATTAGAAAAAAAAATATTTATGCTAAAGCTACAAAGGTATCACTGAAGACAATAATTTTTTTAAAAAGTGTATGGTGTGTGTAATTAAGGATGCTGTACATTTGAATTATCTGTGTTGTTATAGTTTAACTTAGTATAAAGCCTTTATTCCATAAAAGCATATTTCATTTCGTTTGTTATTTTGTGGTAATGGTAATTTATAATAGGGAGTTGCCATATATAAATCTTTTTATGATAAATGAAGTCTGTTGATATACAATCGCTTGTTGCTATGTACAAAAATAAACAATATTACACCACAAAACCTAGGCATGCTCTCTTTTGGAGTTTAGTTAAACTAATTTAAACTTATATCATTAATTGAAAATCTTTTTTAATTTCATTAAAAGGATTTTCATAGGTATCTATTAACGTAATTTGTCAGGAAGAGGAGGATATTGAATTACATGATATAGTTTGAAGGTCTCTCAAGGTTATGATTTATCTATCAACCAAATGGATGTTGCACCTATGGGTTCTCAAAAGACTGCAAAACTACAAAACCTCATTGAAGTTACCATCTTGCAGGAAAGATATTGCCTTATTGTTTATAAACTGCTTAAAAAGTGGGTTGTGATTTGTTTCCATAATTTTAATCCTAGGAATAAGTACAGGAAGGAAAATGCATGACTACAACTTCATTCTTTTCCAGAATTTTAGTTTAGACTCCTTGGCTGAAAAGTGTTAATACACTGACTCAAAAGCATTTGACAAAGTTAATCGCCCACTTCTTGTAGCCAAATTAGCTACTCATGGTTCCATGGAACTCTTTTAAGTTGGTTCTCTTTCTGCCGGAAAACAGCATGAGGGCACTTAGATATGGGCATTTCATATATGTTTGTAGGTATAATGAGTTCTTTCTATGCCTCAGGCGCATCCAAGGTTTGAACCTCAGAGGGAATTTCTACATTAAACAAAGGGGCTGGAGTAAGAAGAGTGTGTGCTTAGTCCTATGTTATTTGCTCTTTTTGTGGATAATATCATAGGTTTGCTAGAGGGAGGAATTTCTGTTGGTAATACTAAAATAAAGATACTATTATATGCCAATGACATAGTCCTTATGCTAAGAGTGTGACAAGTTGATAAATAATATAAGAATTTTTGACGAGATAAGATGATGATCGACTGCCTAAAATCGTTGCTTTACAAATTATACAACTAACCTAATTCGTCTCGAATCACCCCCAAGAACTGCGGAAACGCTACAGTGTGGACACAGTCTCGCGATACATGGCATATGCCACACCCTCATCGATCTTACCTCCGTCTGTGAAGATGAGCTGAAAAGCAGCTTTCCTCAATTTCTAAGTGCTAAGAATTTAGCTCAGTAAAGGTAGGTGGATTAGACAATTTGGCTACAACAAGACTGTCCCGGACAAATACTGCTGGAAGGACCCAGGGCGAAGTCGGCCGGGTGCTCAGTTCAGTACCGTTCCCAGTGTTTTCCCTGCTCTGCTGAAGGTTTTGCCAAAGCATATTCCCAGGGGTCGCATTCAGGCTAGCTGTAACTCGTATATATAAGGAATCCTGCAGCTGAGGGTGAGCTGCTACCTCTGAAGTTCGGGTGGCAACACTCAGCTTTGAGGCTGAGAAGTTTGGCAGCTCAGACTGACCAAAGAGCTTATTCTAAACACACCGGAAACTGCTTGAAGGCTCTGAATAGAGTGCTGTCTTTCGAGCTGAAGAATAGGCCATGCAGCCATAATACAAGGTCGAGCACAGTGAATCAAACATTTTCAAGAGGTTGTCCCTCCAAAATAATACATACACACCTATATACATTGTATTCATTCTATTTAGTAGATGGAGTACTCAATATTCCTCCATTAACCTCTATACAATAACAAACTAATCTAATTGGGGTACTTTCATAAATATTCTGCCATCGGCCCGTCATGTACACAGCTCGAGGGGAGATGGGGATGCTATTTCACCATCAGCCCACCCCCATTCACTCTAATAAAACTCCCTCATACAAAACATATATTTTGGTGGCTGGATACAATAAAAAATTCCAAATTATCCTAAAAAGCGGAACAGGGGAGCCTTAAAACTGGCTTACACATCCGAGAACCATTCTTAAATTCGGCCTCTATTATGTGGGACACATCGAGCAACCTTTCTCTCATAACTGGCACCTGCACAGGCCTTGGTCCAAAAGCAGGTGCCGGTGTCAACCAAGTGTGGCCAAACCTCTATTGAGTGAGGACGATCTCCTGCTCAGGTTCTCTAAGGGTCGCAAGAGCTTTCCGCCCTCTGACGCTGTCATCTTTCTTTTAACGTTTTTCACTGCGTTCGTAGCGTCAGAGGGCATGATCGCGATGGTCTGGAGGGTGTGACGTCCTCACGTTCGTTCCCTCCAGGCCGACGTGTCGGGAACCCAGACAACCACCGTTTTTCCGAGAGGCTCCAGCTCCGCGTATTTCTCTAGCAAGAGCACGACGAGAGGGACCACAGAGAACCTGTCTCGTATAGCTCAGAGCCCCAGACAGCGTTCAGAGAGTCGGTACTTCGGTAGTCGGCGTGCCAAATCGCATATAACTCTGCCATGTATACGCTGCAATGAGGAGGTAGCGACCGGAAGGTCCTCGCTAAACACGGCACACGCCACACCATCGCCTTTACCAGACGAAAATCGGCGTATCTATTTCTAAGTTCAAGGAACTTAGCCTTGTATTGGTATGGCGGGGGTATACGTTTTTTAAAGGTTTTTATCGGGTTCGAATGCAGGGCCGCTGGATTTTACTTTACAGTGATGAGCGCCGTGTCAACGCCTAAACCGTTGCGACTACCGACGCCCTTATTCGTACATTTAAAATAAATAAATGGTTATTATATCTCCACGTCGTATCATACGCTTATATGTTTTATTATTTTAAGAAGTTTATAAAACTAAATTTATTTCTAAAATGTGGACATGTGTGGGGCTTAAAGCCCTATTTGTACCTTTAAAATAAATAAATAAAATGAATAGCTTTGTACAAGTTGAATACAATTTTGAAAGGTAGTCGATGATCGATTAAACGTATCGCGGGCTCCGGGTATCGATTATTTTGTCGATTAGCACTGCGGAAGAAATACGGCTGATCAACCCCCCCCCGTATTTATGGGTTAGCAGAAGCGAAGACTCCCCAGATCCCGTCGATGGTAAATTAAATTCTAGACGAAATGTCAAATCATCCTGGGCCGTCGGTCGTGATCGGTTCGCTGTCCGTGCTGAGTTCCTAGTCGGATTCGGCTGGTTTTTTCCATGATTTTCTACCGTCGGCGGCCCTCTGGAAAATCCGACTGACGACCGCCTCTCTGGAACGCCAGGGGCCGATTTTCCCCTTTTCCACGTCGTCCCGTTTTCACGTTTTCCGAGGGAAGAGGGACGCCCGTGAAACTGTGGCTTCCATCCTCTACGCCCTGTTTAGGAAGATGTCGAAAGGTTCGGAGGAGGCAAAGAAGGGCCAGGCGACGGACAACAAGAAGCCCGGAGGCTATCATTCAGATTCGGTGAGTGAATTGAATTTATTTACCGATAAACATTTCAGAAAATCCGTCCGGTCTATTCATCGGGTTTTCAACTGGGAATGGAATGATGCCTGCATCTGCATTGATATCGACGTTGACAGTAACTAGGTTTGAAAAAGAAAAAAAAAAAAATCCCACCGATAATCTGTTTTATTTTTATCAGGATGGACGTTTTTCGTCCTTGAAGAACACCGCTGGAAAGGATTTTGCAAGGTTTGCACAACGTATGTAGAATGAGGTCGACTCTCTGATTCAAAAATATATCTTTTTATAGTTTTTAAAACAAAAAGGCCAACGTGTTTTATGAATGCGCTATTGCATCGATAAAAACATCGCTGTCATCAACTTTAGAAAATTTCTCAATGAGAAAAAAAAAGGTTTAGTTATTGATAATGCATGTGAATATAAAACAGATATGACTGGAAAATCGATGTGACCGTTTTGTAAATATGCGTCTTCATGTATTTCTCCATTTGACGACTTCTTGCAGATTGATGAATAAATAAAAAAAAACTTCTTGAGCGTGAGATGAACGTAAACAACCAGGCTGTTGACAGTATTTAATTGACGAAGCGAATTTCGTTCTATTAATACTTCAGCTTTCATTAGTATGTGATGTTTTTTGCAATTATTTTAAGCGTGGAATATGCTTGACCTCGAAATTCCAGGTTGGTTTTATCAGCAGTACACTTTAGACCACGACGCCCACTTGAAGTCGGACGTCAAGGCGGGCGTCCTGCGTTCCAAGGATTGCTTGACGCAAATTCAAAAATTCGCGTTTTCAGTTGTTTTGTTAAAAGGATTTTCTGCACAGTAAAGAATATTAACGAAAAGTACTATTTTTATTCTACCGTTAAAAGGCTCCTCTGAATTTACATCAATCAATCCATTAAAATATCTCCATTCAGGGATAGTCAATATACAAATTGTATGAACATAGTCAAAAATAATTCAAGATACTTTGGATTTCGGTATAGTCTAGATACAAATCAAATTCTGTTGTTATCTGCGTAGCTTTCGACTTAGGTCATCAAAACAATCTAGAAGATGTAGAAAAATTGACATAATTAGCTTTAATAGATGGTTTCAAATTTCTTTGAAGACCAACTCAGCCCTAAACATTGCCAAGTACTGTATTACTATTCAATATCTAAATAGTAGTAACACTAATCGTGTTACAGACTTTGGCAATGTTGAGTCTGAGTCTATCTTCAAAGAAATTTGAAATCATCTATTAAAAACTTAATTATGTCAATTCGTAATACCATTTTTTAAAATTGTTTTGCCCTGATGGATGATATTAAAAAAGATCGAAAGCTTGGCAGATAACAATTGAATTCGTTTTTTTTATCAAGACCTACCGAGATCGACAGTATTGGCGAGTAAAAAAGTGGTTGATCATCTAACACTTTAATCAAAAATAATTACAGAAAAATACAAAATAGATAAAGTACGCACAGAATAATAAACATAAATAATCTTTAAAAAATAAATAAACAAATATACTTCAGAAAAGTCATAGATGTGGGGTGTGTATTATACTGCTCTTTATGAGCTATTGTATCCCTCTCTGTGCTTAAAGCAACCGGTGAGTCCTAGTTAATCAAGGAGCTTGATTAGTAGGCCGGGTTTCAGTGATTGAATCTCTCTTCTACGTTTACGTTGTATGTCCCAAAACACTTCCTCCGGTGGGCAAGTGTAGCACTACAGTTTTCTAGTATGTGTGGTCGTGTTTCCTCTGGTTTTTTTGCAGAATCTGCACGTGCCCTGTTGGGTTAGCCTATCTTCTTCAGTCCATTTAGTTTGCAGTGTCCTGTTAAGGATCCTGTTAGGATGTTACTTGTTACCGCTTTCCTTCCGAGTTTGTTAGGAGGTTGTTGGACTGTTTGTGTCCAATGAGCGAGTACAATTGTTCCCTCATTTTCTTTTTATACTTCAGTGTGAGATGCTCATTGATAGTGTGCCTTCCTATGCCACAGAAGGGCTGGGATCCTATCAGCGGTATAGCAGCCTCTCTTTGTGCAAAGGCATCCGCTTTCTCGTTGCTTTCTACTCCCACGTATCTTAGGACCTAAAGGTCACGTTAAGAAAAATTAATTTTCAACTAGAAATTTCAATGAATTTCCTCTAAAATTCTTCACTTCAAATGAAACAATATTTTTCATTATATTAATTATTTACCATATTTTTATTATTCTTTAATGTCTGTGATTCTATAACTAGCTGTCGATCTCAAGATTTCAATATTTTCTCTAAAGTAGTACAGTCCAAGCTAGGAGCTCCATAATAGAGAATCTGTGTTTGAAGAAAACTTCGTTTAGTTCCAGCACTGTTGCTCAGGTATTTGCAGCACCAACAGTGCTGGAACTAAAAGAAGTTTTCTTCAAACACGGATCTCAAGATTTATAAAATTATTTCTAGCTCAGGTGATTATAAAATCTTGGCCTTTTCTGAAAGGTGAATCGTAATCATCTTAAGCTAAACTTGGACAAATGTGTTATAATTCACTTTTCTCGCAAACAAAGTAGATCAAATTTATACTTACTCTATTGACCTCTATTAACCGTGAAGTGACACAGATCAGCGTCTTAGGAGTGATCTTTAACAGCACATGTACATTTGAAACCACTATATTGATGTCACTAAAAAAGCTTCAAGAAATTTAGGCTTTCTAAAAAGATTGAACTCCGATTTTCCTAATGTTTTTGCTATAACAATTTTATACCAATCCCTTGACCCTAGTATATTGGAATTCGCTTCTATAGTCTAGGCTCCTTAGTATGACAAGGATAGGGCTTCTTATTGAGAGGGGCCAATCGTAGGCACTTCTAAATTTCTATTTCTTTTCCCGGCATCGAATATGAGGTCTCCTCTCGGTCTTTCAGTTGGTGTCTCTCACCCATTGAGGGAGGTGCTCTGCGCCAAAAACTGGGGATTAAAACCCAAAATGTCCCATGGCTATACACCTGCGACTTAAGAGCAATGTCCAAAATCTGGTAGAACAATACCACAGACATTAGGCACGCGAAGAGATTCATAGAAGGGCCATCCGCAAAACTTACAAAGGAATTACTGAAAGGAAACCGCAACCGAACCAGGGTTCTAGTTTGACTCCTGACAGGGCACTGCCACTTAAGAAAGCACATACAGAAGAGGGGGCCGCGATAGCCGAGTGGTTAAGGAGTCAGACTCTCGGCTTGTAGATCCCGCGGTCGTGGGCCCAGGTTGCCAGTGAAGAGTTACAATTCCGCTGACAATCATGTCCTTCATTCTGATGGACTATACGGAAAATACTGTTGATTTCTTGCGCCATACAGGTATGCAAAGAGAAGTAAAAGAAGTAAGAAAAGGTGTGGGTATGTGGTTAGAAGGGAGAAAATTATTTTTTGATATTTTTTTTTAGATATTCATGGGCAAATCAATATGCAAATTACTGTGCTGATGAATACAAGCTCCATTACAGTCTGAAGAAATTTCTAATTAGAAGTATGCGCGTATGCGGTTTTTCCCCCCAGGTAAACAATGTTTCTTGTACGCTGTACCGAAGTTCATTGTTTCCTATTGTTTAGACTGAACCAAACTGAACCAAATCCATCATGACCTGTTAGAATATGGGCAGGAACCGGTGTAATTTGTAAACCGTCTCGTCTTACTCTTGTTCATCAGTTTTGAAAATATTAGTTTGACTGTATCCTGATGAAACTAGAAGACTAACCAATGATTGGTTATCTAGCGATGATATGCATTTAATTTTATAGCTTGTGCTCTCTAGTAATTTAAAAGTTATATCAACTGCCATCTAACTAGACTATTCGTGATTGACCCAATTGTTTGTCATTTCATTTAGAAACTAGAACGCTCCCTTCTTATGTGCCACTTTTCAGGTGCAATTGAAAAACGGTAAAACCTACATGGGAACCACTCAGTACAAAATTAGACCTAGCCCACGACTATTTGCTGTGAAAGACCGAAAATCTTACGAACATCAATGTTTATTTGGGTGACATTGTCGGAACCGAACTCGCTCGTTTTGAGTACTCAGGTCCTCTAAATTTAAGTGTGCTGAGTGATTAATAAAATCACACCTGTTGTACTCGAAAGCATTTTAAGAGATGGATTCGCTTGACTTTGCTTCTACTCAATTCCATTTTCAGCATATTCAATTTTGGTGTGGCCCGATAGGTTAGAGTACGGCGTCTTGTTTTACCAGTCCGTTGCTTAAATTCCTACTTGATTACTGATACTTTTATATGTGAACATAAATCGTTAATGCTGTCTGATGCTATCATATGTTTGTGCACGTTACGTTTTAACTCATGCGTACAGAGTCAAGTGCAAGGATGGACCTCGACTTTGATATGTCGAGATAGGTGTCCATCCTCTGTACCCCCTCCAATGTAATAGTTAACAGCCAAAATTATTTATCCTATGAATACTCGTTCGGGTTGATCTAAATGCTTTAAATTCTTTCACCCGTTCAAGGTAGACAAAGATGATGATGATAATGATGAAGTATACTAGGAAGTCGGGGTGTTTTGTTCCCAAGCTCTGCAATCTTGTGGCTTATTGTACTTTCTTAGTTCTGCCTATCGATTCGATCCTTATTTTAAGGAGGTCATTGACTGTTGTTGCTGAAATTCCTTTCCCTGGGTTTTCTTTGTAATCCAGTTTGTATCTCTATTGAGCAGTTGCTTTTCATTCGAAGATGTTATGGGTAGCTATTTCTTCCTCATCATTTTCACATCATTCATCGTTAGTTCCTCAGTTCGGTCTGACGATTCGACCTTCTTTTAAGGAGTACTAGGACATCGTCTGTCGTTGGTGAAATTCCTTTCCTTGTGTTTTCTTTGTATCCCAAGTTGTACCTCTATTGGGTAGTTGCTTCTCATTCGAAGACGATAAGGGTAGCTGTTTCTTTCTCATCATTGTCACTCATATCAGATCTGATGCGGTCGTTATTGAATATGCCCATGCTGTGTAGGTGTTTTCTCAGATGCCAGTGACCGGTTAATAGTTCTATCACTCTTCTGAGTGGTAGACAAATAGTTGTAGCATTTTTTGTTTTGATAGGTCATTGCGAGGGCGATAACGGCTCGAACAGTTGCAGGCTAATTAATTCTAGACCGCGGGATAAAAATCTTGCTCTCACAGAACTGCCAAATAAAATTGAAACTCTGCCAAAATTCCGTTGCTTCCTTGCCCGTTTTCGCACTGCGTCTCTGAGCCTCGCCTCGCCTCTATTTACGTTAACGGAGCGATATCGGCCGGAGGCTGGTTTGCCGTACTTAGTGATGTGAAAAAGAAAATGTGACATGTCCTTTGCACCGCCGTCCTCCGAGGAGGATTCTCCCAGGGCACGCTTCCGGGCCATTTGGGCCAAATTCAGGAAGGTGATGCCGTTCGTTTGCACGAGTGCAATGTGCTTTAACAACGGACAGAACATGTACGGTTGTGACTAAACATGGCTTGCATGATTGGACTCTGTGTTGTTCGTTTATTTTTATTTCACTGTCAAGCCACTCGTTGGCAGGAGAATAATTAAAAAAAAAAAAGAAAAAAAAAGATCTCCCATCCCTCTAAAAAATATTATACCATTGATTCATTTTTGGGTTTTATGTTAAGTCATCCAATAACAAAAGCATGCTTTTCACCCTTTTAAGTCAACACAAAGAACTAATTTTGCTTAACAAACTTTTTGGATAATCCCTTAAGGCAGTATCACAATTTTTTGTTTTTCGCGGTTTTTTGGGCGGGGGGAGGGTTGAAAAGTTTTAATCGTTGAATAAATAAAATTTGAGTTTTAGTCTTGTTCTCCTATGTTGCAGGACGCTAGTGGGGAGAGCCTGAGCCTGTCGCAAGAGTCTACAACCGAAGTTGTCACAACAAGGCAAAACCTCCCCACCAGTAAGTCTTTTTTTACAACAGCCTTTGTACATAATTGTATATTTTCACTTTCTTTCTAAAGGCAATCAGAAGAGAGTGAATAGAAGGAGCTCGGAATGGGAGATAATCGAGGGTTTGAGAGATGGACAGAGGTACGAGACGAAACCTGATGTCTTCACCGGTTACCTGCACAAGAAGCGAAAATGGCCCCTTAAAGGTTGGCACAAGGTGAGAATCTGGAGCTGTCCGAACCCAACAAAAATGAAAATCATTTCTTTTATTCACAGAGGTATTTTGTCTTGGATACGGGTTTATTGAAATATGGGAAAAGCCCTAATGATGTTTCGAGGGGAAAGATACACGGGTCAGTGGACATAGCACTCTCGGTTATATCGACTAAATCGAAACGTAAACGTATTGACATCGATGCGGAAGAGTTCATTTATCATCTGAAAGCCAAGCAGTACGACATATTTGAAGACTGGGTCGAACAACTAAAAAGACATCGGCTTTATCGGCAACACTTGCTTAACTTTGGGGCTAGCGTGCCCTCAAAGGACGTCGGCCCCAATAAGCTTCCTCTCTCTCGCAGTGAGTTTAAGTTACTTTTCTGAACTAATAATTCATTGAAAATTTACATGACAAAAAACATGATTGACATCTTACAAAAAAATCTTAATGTTCATATTTTCTTAAAGAGCTCGCTTCTGATGGTGGTTCTCCCCCTCTCCGTCTGCAATGGGTCATGGATAGCGGCCCACTGCAAGTCGCAGTCACTGAGCTCAATCACACTCAGCAAGCACTCAGTCAACTTGGTCGCATACTGGAACAGCTGGAACTTTCAAGCACAGAACCTGAGGTAGGAAAAAATACCAAGTATTCGCGAACAGAATTTTTAATAAATTGCTATTTTATAGAATGCAAATGACGGTTTTTCACCAAATGTGAAAAAGGACAGGAAGAAGTTCGGCTTAAGAAAGAAGAAGTCAAACAAGGGCAGTTCTGTCGATTTGACGGTGACGACGAAAGATGTTGAAAATAACCTCACTGCTCAAATTATGAGCTCGCCTACTCCTATCCGGCCATCATCGCTCACGACTGAGCATCATATTCCTTACTCCTCAAGTGGACTTCTAGACATAAACCTCGCATCGGACTTTGTCGTCCTTGCAAAGGACGTTTACACTTCGCTCAAGTCTATAACATATACTATTCACACCGAAAAAGATCGGTTTAAAGGTTCGCCTGACGATAGGATAAAATCTGCTCTTGCCGTAGCACTCAAACAGAACAATGAACTCCGAACACGACTGGGCAGCATCAGCAGGACTTCTGACATAGCAGATCTTCCAGAACCAGTTTGTTTTTCCATATGATTATCGTGTCTAGTCGTATGATCTAGTTTACTTTAAACCATTTTCAGGAGGTATGGGACTTTCAGACAAGAATTCTGCATTCTTCACTTTCAAGGAACTCGTGCGCTTCAGAGTTCTACGATGCTGAAGAAGGTGATGCATCTGATCTTCCTGAGACTGGAGCGACATCCGACGCATCTTCCATTGCAGGTTCATCTGAAGAAGGTGGTTCTGAATCCTCTGAAGTGTCTGACATGGCTGACTCAGAATATAACATCACACAAGACAGTATGTATTTATATCAAATTTTACATTAATTATATTGTTTTCAGTCGGCCAGTCTGTTTTTCATAATAGGCTCAACAAAATCTTAATGAGAAATTTATATTCCCAGCACAAGATAGTTCAGGCTACAGGTCGAACAACACAAATCTTACTGGAAGGCGCAACAAGTTGCCGGCACCGTCTCCAGACTCACAAGGGCTTTCACTCTGGCAGCTCCTATCTAAGAACATAGGAAAGGATCTCTCTCAAGTCTCGATGCCTGTTGGGTTGAGTCATCCACTCAGTGTGCTTCAGGTACATTTGATATTATTAATACTGCTTTGTATTTTGGCAAAGAGAGTCAAAGGAGAATCTTTTTCAGAGGTTATGTGAAGATCTCGAGTACTCGGAACTTCTCGATAAAGCGGCATCCCTTTCTGACCCAGTGGAGAGAATGGTACACGTAGCTGCTTTTGCAATATCGTCATACTCGTCTTCATACCTACGCGCGTCAAAACCTTTCAACCCGCTTCTCGGTGAAACGTATGAGGCCGTAAGAGAAGATCGCGGTTTTCGTTTTATATCCGAACAGGTCAGCCACCATCCTCCAATCAGTGTGTGCCACGCCGAGTCGAAGAACTACACCTTCTGGCAGGAATTCAGGATTAAAACCAAGTTTTGGGGGAAGTCAATGGAATTCCAGCCTTCGGGCATCCTCTGCCTCGAATTAGAACGTCCCGATGGCGGAAAGAGAGATTCTTACAAGTGGAATAAAGTCACTGCTTGCGTCCACAACCTCTTTTCCGATAATCGTTGGGTCGAACAATACGGAACAATGACGATTGAAAACAAAAATCATAACTGCATAGTTGAGTTCATCAGGGTGAGAATTCTCTTCGATTGTTTAGAATGATTTTGTCTTACGTGTTTCATTTGATTTTCAGGCTAGTTATTTTTCACCCCAGCGATACGAGCTTCATGCAAAAATTATAGAAAACGCACAGAAAAAAGAAGTGCAGAAATTATTCGGAAGGTGGAACGAGGCGCTTTATGTGGGTGAGAATGTACCTAGTGCCAGGTGTGTCTGGCGTCCGGGTACAATGCCACCTGACTACAATCTCTACTACGGTTTTACAAGATTTGCGATAGAGCTCAACGAACTTCAACCCGATATGATCAACGTTCTTCCTTGCACCGATACCAGGTTTAGGCCGGATCAAAGGTGAGCACAAGTTTGACGCTCAATCGAACTGTGAAATATATCTTTGCGATTTGTATTTCAGACTACTCGAAGAAGGAAAGATAGAGGATGCCGAACGTGTGAAACTACAGCTCGAACAGTCTCAACGAGAGCGTCGAAAGAAATTGGAAAGCGAAGGGCAGGTTTATGAGCCACGTTGGTTTCGGAAGACGACAAACGAAGACAAGGAGGAAATATGGCAATATAAGGGAAATTACTGGGATCTCAGAAAGAACCCAGGCTTTGTTAATCTCAAAATTGAGCCAATCTGGTAATATTAATACATTACACAAAAACAAAAAAAGCAAAAAATATATAAACTTACAAAAAAAATCGTAAACGTTTGATAAAGCTCTTTCATTTTTTTTCTTTGCGCTCTCTATTTCAAGCTCTCACTCTCTCTCTCATTGATATTATTGTTATAATTCCCTAAACATTTATTAATCCATAAACTTTATTTATTTATAGAACATTCGGGCTTCTGCTAGTAATCTCTTGATATTAATTTTCTCACCCGCTTCCCCTTATTAAGTTGTTATCGGGTCTGGGCTTAAGAGTCCTTTTAGAGAATTTAAAGTATTTACAACCTTTAAATAAACAATGACTTAATTTTTCATACAAAACGAACACTCATAGATATGATCAATTATGCTTTAATTAAATTTTTAAACTAATTTTTTTATAGTAGTAACAACGAGTTACACATGTATAACAGAACAAGTAAAGTTGTAAATGTTGCCCATTGTCCCAAGGCACTACTGGTAAGGCATTTAAAAAAATTATGAATTTTTTATGGTACATGTATACTTCTTATGATATAGCATACTTTTTATTTAATTACACTTGCAGCTTCAAGCCATCAGAAATTAGAATATTAATTGTTAATTTTATTATTTTAAGTATAAAAAAGTGTTTACCCTTCATGCATTTTGCTGCAATGTTTTTGAAATAATGCAAACTGTGCGTCTTCCTTTGCCACTTTATGCCTGGGCCCATTGTATTTTTTTTGTAAAATAATTTTTATACATTAATTAATTTTTAAATTTTAGTTTATTAGCATTTTATGCAATTCGTCGCCGTTTTTTGCTCCATGTCCCACCTGCCAAAAAAAAATCTTCCAAAGATAAAAAAGAAAAAAAAAATCATGCAGTTGAAGGCAAATTAAAAATAAAACAATAGGGGCAACAATGAATTAACTTAAAATGCACTTAGATAAGAAGGAAAATAATGTGATTTTTATTATTTTAAAAAACATTCGAATAAAAAATAATAATAATAAACAAGAAGAAAAAAGAAAAATGTGATAAAAGAAAAGAAATTTGCTAGTGATTCGCTTATCTGTTTCAATTATTAAATGTTAATAATAGTAATAATAATAATAATATTATATTAAAAGAACAAAAAAGGAAAACTTTTCTTTCTATTATGTTTGTTGAGTTTTTATTTGTAGATAACTATAAATGGATATATATTAAAAAAAGTGCTTTGTTATCTGAAACAAAAATATATGAACTATTAAACAATTTATTTAATTAATTTTTGTTTACCTGATGATATCCTTTAATTTTTTTATATACTTACAGATTCGGCTGACTTTTTTTCATGATGGAGTTCATGAAAAGGCTGTGATTTGTAAAAAAAACAATCAATTGACCATTATAGATTTATTTTATCATTGTTTTTTAGACTTTCCAGATAGAAACTATTTACAATATTCCTCAATTATATACCATTATATCGTAAAATCAAATTTTTGCAAGTCATTTTGAGCGTTGGCACAATTTTTTGACACTTTGTTACATTTGAACAATTTACAAAAGAATTTTCTCTCTCTCTCTCTCTCTTTTGAGGAATAGAAAATAAGAGACGATAATAAATTAATATAATATACAACAATTATTTTAAAAAGGAAAGTATATACAAAAATTATAGACATTTATTTCATTATTATTACTCTTTTTATGAAGATACACGTTGAAAATAAGCTATTTACAACAACAGAGTTAATTACATCGTTCAATAATTTTAACAACTAAAAACAATGGCACAATTCTGTCTTGATGTTAATTTTTTAAAATATAAACTATGCATGTTGTAGTGCAAACACTCAACATGCATAACATGTATTCAAGCGATCATTTTATCAGTCTAGAACAAAATTATGCATAGTTATTTTACAAATTTGAAAAGGATATTTTTTTTCTTTAGGAGCACACATTTTAAGAAGTGTGTGTATTGTGAACACATGCTAATGTAAAAGAAGCATTAATGTTTATGAGAACGAGTCTTGGGCATACATGTGCTTATTAACTTTTGCATATGTACAGACGTTACGTTATTTTATTGGTATAATGTCTATATGCGATAGTATCTTGCATAAGTTGACCCTGTTTTAAATTTATTCTATATGTGTTTTAGTTTGGCATTTTTTTTCAATGAGCCCTAATATTTAAAAAATTAATGTTTTTGTTAGAATAATTATTAGTTGAATAACTGCCTTTTTAAAGTTATTATGAAAGCCTGGAATTTTATTAAAAAGTCATGAAAAGTGTTTTTCTTTTTTTTTTTTTACCTCTTGCTATGAAATAAAAATGCACCGAATCATTTACTAGAATGTTTTTTTTTTTAAATTTAGAAAAAACCCTATATTAATGGCTGTATCCAATTGGCCATCAAGGGCTCGATCGTCATAATCATGGCTATCATCGCCTTTATTAATTAAAAGTGAATTTAAGAAACCGTTCAGTTCTCCTCATACGGCCAGGAATGTTTGAGGGTGAGGTGAGGGTGAACTGACGGTTTCTCTGATTGTCATTGTTTCTTCATATCGTCTTTCTTGCCAGACTGATCGTGGGCTCCAAGCTGCGCCGACGACGGGCACACCTTATCCAGTTGTTTCAACGATTCAGAGAGAAAATTCTAAAAAACAAATCATCCCATGAGCAAAATTAATCACTGTTGATTATTGGTAGTAATTACCAAATATTTGTACTAAATATAAATCATTCATTTTAAGTTCCATTATTAAGAATGGTAATTTTGAATGAATAAAGACACAAGTAGTTCGATCGTCCCTGATCACCAAGGCCTATTCTTACTAGTTCTGTCTGTTAAATTCACCATCTTCAATGATTGCACAGAACAAGAATAGTCCGGAATAATCAAGGACTTAATTCCTTAACGAACTTACCACTTATGAATGGTTTGAGATCATAAAAACTTAACTACATTTTTACAGTTGTTAGCCTTACTTGAATAGCTGTTAAGGCAGCTACGATGGCAGGGCTCCCGAAGCCGTGACTTATGAGGCTGAAGTGGGTCAGATGCCGCTGTATGCTCGGGTCGAGGATATGCTGCGGCCTTGTGTTGCACAAGGGGCTTCTGTCCTGGTTCAGGAGCTCCATGAGCTCTTTGATCACTTGCTTTGTCGCATGTATGTTCTCCTTCCTTCTGTAGTTTTCACTCGGGTCTGTCGCATGGACCCTTGTCAGGTACTCGGCCACCTGCCTTGCAGGAAACTCCGTCTCACAGACGTATCCAAAATCTCTTGCCAAATGTATCGCTTCCCCTGTAATTGAAATAATAAATCAATGTATAAAGGATTCTTTTGACATATGTGAAGATATATTTATTACAATTAATTAAGGTTTTTAGTTGAGATAAAAAAGTCAATGGCACGAGCAAGATTCGAACCCACGATCTTCGGCTTGATACACCGCTGCTCTACCACTTGAGCTATTGTGACCTCAATCCACTTGGACACCAACTTCCTATCTCAACCCCACCTTTTGTGTTTTCCCTCCTTTTTGCCATTTTATCCGAGGTGTAGTCAAGCGGACCTAAACCTGAGCTCAGTATTTTTTTTTTTTTTTGCCAGGCTCACATTGACACATCAGGTTTTCAGCAAGACAATAATTAACTTATACTACACATGTATATTTATTGTTAGGGCCTGAATGCCCAATTTTTTTTCTTGTTACTTTATTCAGTTCCTTTTCTAACTATTACTAATGTACTAATAAAAATGTGCAACTTTGATCCAAATGTTTTAGTCTATCCAGTTATAAACCAAGTATTCAAGTATTAGTAATACACAAGTATTGAATTATAATGAAAATACTCAAACAACAATAAATTTGAGTAAAAATTGATTATTAATTTTTCTTTAAATGAAAACATGGTTTTAAGTTGAGAAGACCTCGCCGTTACATATCCAAATTCTTGGGTATGCCATGCTCTACCATCCATGATGGCCTACAGTGGTTCAGGGCCACTGGAAGTCTCGATCGAAGAGAAGGCAGTGGTCGAATGTGATGTGCAATGGCTAGAAACAGCTCTTACCATCAGTTAAAGGCTCCTTTGCTAGGTAGTCAACTTCAAATGGTATGTAATGCAAGGGTGAGCTCTAAACTATTCATCAGAAAGCTTCATGACAATGGCCTAATCTCTATAGTCCAGCATCAGGTTCTCTCTTACGGGAGAGCATCGACTATCTAAGCTACTGAGCATCTTGGACAGTTAAACAATGGGAGCTGTTTACTTCACAGATGGGTGCCGGTTTGGTTTGTGGCAATCAGATGAGGTGACCTTGTATGGAGAAAAGTGGAAAACGCTTTGCTTCGAGTACCATGCTGGCTTTTTCAAAGAGTCGGTTATGGTATGGATATCAATGTCCTTTGATAATGGATTGTATACTTTGGGAATGTATCTAAGGTAGTTCATGTGAGCCTATAGAACACTTATGGGACATGATAAAGAGACATTGCACACGCCTCCAACAAACGTTGACCAACTTCAAACCACTCTTGTTAAAGGAAGAGATTCTGTTCTGACGAAGTTCGATCTCTTATTTGCTCATGCCTAGGAGACTTAAGGCCCTCTGCAAGGGGTTTACATTAACATAATTTGCCATTGATATAACATTAAAAATATATATAGTTTGAAATAACAAAATTTGAGTGTCCAGTTTTGTCTTGTGTATTTTAGGCTTTTTTTTTAAAAAGGGAGGAGTTTAAACATGAAATTGCATTTATTTGGTCATGTTTCGGCATCTGTGTGCCATCCTAAACAAATTATAATTTCATCAACAAAAAGAATATATTATATCCCAATCAATCAGGTTGCAGAATAGGACACAGTACACAGACAGCCACTATAAAAAAACTTAGATTATACTAGAAAAAATGTTGATTGCAACAAAGTATTGTTTGTCTTATTGAACTTAGCCATGCTTTTTACAGTGTTCATCACTGACTGCTTCTATCTTCATGCAAAATATGAATTTCTCTGAAGCGATAATAGAATGGTTTCTGTCATATTTAAAAAACAGGTCACAATTCATTTAAACCATAGATGGAAATATATCGGTTTGGACTGCGATTGAAAGAGGAGTCCCTCAAGGTTCTACATTGTCTGTATTATTATTTTCCATATATGTAAACCTAATATCGAAATGGATAAAGCGCTGTAATCTCTCAATGTATGCAGATGATTTAGGTATCCACATCAAAACTGAAATTAAAAATATTAATACTAACATTTGTTAAAATTAATGATGACTTTAAATGTTTATCTAACTTGGGAATTTCACATCATATAAAAATTAACCCCTCAAAGTGCAAGGCCGTATAATTGGTCACTCTCAGCTCATCAACAGAATAAATACAAATATCTCAAGGGTTACTATTGACGGTATAGACCTTCATTTTGAAAACAATGTTGATTATCTTGGTTTCATTATAAATATTATTTAATATTATAACTAGTATTTGCCATGGTGTATAATGTTAATTTACTTTGTTTTGTATATATTTCTTTTTGTTGTTAAATAAACATTATTATTACGTAACGATGAATGAATCATTATTACTCTATCATGGGAACCCCAAATTGATAAAATACTTATCCAAAATGTACTCAAATATGTACTCTATAAAAAAGAATTATTACCCAAAAAAAACCTGATATCACCTTAAAACTAATTCATTCTGCATGACATATATTCATTCATTACAACGTAGTCGTCATAAATGATCTCAACTATACTTTACAAAATAAACTTCAAAAAGCGCAAAATACGTGCATCCGATATATCCTTAAACTAAAATATGATTCTAGAATATATGATAAATTTTTGATATTAAAAATCAAGACTTACAAATCTATTCAATAGCAACCTTTTTGTACAAAATACGACAAACTAAAAATTCTTCCTACATGTTTCATAATTTTAAATTTCAATGCACTATCCATAACATTAATACCAGAACAGCTAAAATTACTTAATTCATCTACTAAAACACAGAACAAAAATAGCAATTCATTTAAAATAAAAGCTTCAAAAATCTTTAACTCAATACCGAAACGTACAGAGTTTCGGCTACTCTTGTTACAATTTCCAGTAGATTCTACATTCAAAATGGAGCGAAAAAGTCCTAATTAACTATGATCCGAATCTCAACAGTTTTGAAGTTATTCCATTTTTTATTTTTATTTTTATTTTTAAGATTTCATGACCTTACTTCAAATAAACAATGATAACTCCAAAACTAAAAGGTTTTGGACAAATCCGCTGATACCACTGAAAACAACGTGAAATTTCCAATAAGATGTGATCAATAGTAAACTTGTAAAACGTTGGTGAAATAAGCGTTTTAGTAGCCAGAACTTTGAAAAATATTTTTTTTTTCGAAGTTGAAAAAATCCCCGTTGTGATTCTAAACTACTATTTCCAAACCTAGAGACCAGCAAATTTCACCAGCAAACATACTCCATTTAATATCTTTTTTAGTGGTGTTACTTATTTTTTTCAAAGAAAGTTAAAAACCGTGGTTGGTAAGGTGGAAAGATTAAATAATAAAAAATGAAAAAAAAAAACTTAAGGAAATTTTGAATGATTGACTATAAACGGTTCAAATCTTAAAGCTCTTTTTTTCCGGGAATTAATAATTCAATAATATAATAATCCTTTAATCAAAGTTGCATTCGTGGTCGTAAATAAGTAAACAATTGCACTATTCCAGTTTCGAATCCAAATTAAAAAAAGTTTAATAAATTCATTCAAAATTTCTTTAAGTTTTCATTTTTTTTTTGTTAATCACCTTACCAATCCTTCAACCACGGTTTTTACTTTTCCTTCATCAATTTCTTCATCTTTGAAAAAAGTAATTACACAACTAAAAAGGATATTAAATGGAGTACGCTTTCTGAAATTTGCTGGTCTCTAGGTTTGGAAATAGTAGTTTAGAATCATCACGGGAATTTTTTCAACTTCGAAAAAAAAATATTTTTCTATGTTCTGGCTACTAAAACACTTATTTCATCAACGTTTACAGGTTTAGTATTGATCACATCTTATTAGAAATTTAACGTAGTTTTCAATGGTATCAACGGATTTGTCCAAAACCTTTTAGTTTTGGATTTATCATTGTTCATATGAAGCAAGGTCGTGAAATCTTGAAAATGGAATATCTCCGAAACTGTTGAGATTCGGAACATAGCTGATTAGGACTTTTTGGTTCCATTTTGAATGAAGAATCTACTGGCAAAGATCAGTAATATGCTCTGTATAAAAATATAACTTATAAGTTCAACTTTATACATTTACTCCAATGTTGATTTTACAATAATTTTTTAATTTCTATTTTATGTCTGTTGTGACTATAAATAAATATTATAGTTGTAATTAGACGTTAAGTGTAAGAAAAAGACCTAACTTTTGTGTATATTTTAATAAATAAATCGTTAAACAATCAATCAATCCTACTAGGACATTCTAATTTATATTGTATATTATTGGGTTGTCCGGAAAATAATGCAGGATTTTAAGTTTTCATTAAAAAAAATCTATATAAAATATTCTGTTTACGTTTACAGGATTACTCATTTGTATGAATGTCAACACTTATTAATCCTCTTCCAAATGATATTGTTTGTTTACCTCTGTAGCATTCCGCTACTTGGAAATAATTCAGTCATCCTTATAATGTCAAAGCGAGAATTTCGTACGATTTTCTTTTACGAGTTTAAACTCGGCCGAAGCGGAGCCCAAACGGCTAGAAACATTAACCAAGTCTGGGGCGAGGGTTGTGTTAATGAGTGCACTGTGCAAAGGTGGTTTAAAAAATTTCGGGAGGGAGATTTCAGCCTTGAAGATGAAGAAGGTCGTGGAAGGCCTTCCTCTCTTAATGATGATGTTCTGCGATCAGTGGTGGAAGAAAACCCCAAAACAACTGTTCGAGAACTTGCAGAGCAACTCAAAGTCAGTAAAACGACCGTCGCTGACCACCTCAAGGCGATTGGAAAAGTGAAAAAACTCGAAAATTGGGTTCCACACTCATTAAACGATCGCCAAAAAATCAGCGCTTTGATGTTTGTGCATCACTTCTTTGTCGAAACAAAAATGACCCATTTCTGGCCAGAATTGTTACATGTGACGAAAAGTGGATTCTCTACGATAACACTAGACGTTCTGGACAGTGGCTCGACAAAGGAGAAGCTCCAAAGCCCCCAACTCATCAAAAAAAGGTAATGGTTACGGTATGGTGGGCTTCATTTGGTTTAATACACTACAGCTTCTTAAATCCT